ATTTATGAAAGCAGGACGTTAATGAAATAAAACAGAAATAATTAATACAAAAATAGAGGATTGTTAAAGCGTTTATTTTTTATTTGAAGATAATGGCAAAAAATTGTTTTTACATTATTGGGTTGTTTGTTATGGCATCGTGATAGGTTATCAATTTTGATTGGTACGAGTGTTAATTAAACATGAGCGTACTGTACTCCTACATCATCGTGCACCTGTAACAATACTATTTAGTATTACAACCTCATGACAACTAAAAGGTTGCCAAGGAAGAGACAAAGGGGTACATCGTGAACAGAATTACACAATTTTCAGAAGAGATGTGTTTTCTGCTACGGTTGCATTTAACCCTTTGACTGCAGCACGCTCTAAATCAGAACCATCAGATTATGGGATGCTATATTTGCATGTACAATGGCTAACTAAGATTCTGTAAAAATACCTTAATAATTCTGGATCCGGTAAAGTTCAGATTTTTTCGTTAGCTGTTGTATATCACTGGTACACACTAAATAAAATATAAGTATTGAATCTTTACGCTGATGATAAAAATAACGCAACTTATTTAATGAACGAAATTTGAATGATATATTTTAAAACGTGAACCGATATTCCTGTTTGTTTCAAAGCTAATCTAAAGGGTATAGCCGGATAAGTCAGTTCAAAAGTGCCCCGAAACTAAATTAAATCTTTTATACTATATATCAGTCGATAGGTTCCCCAGAGAAACTCCTCTCTGTTAAGTTTTAATCCGGTAATCCCTACAGGGAGGTAATTACAGGGTGAAACGTAATTTACAATTGCTGCTCTATGTCTTTTATTTTATTCGATAGAACATTATGAAAAAATCAGGGATATTTTCCCCAATGGGATGCATGTGTGTGAAAACCGATTTTTAAAAAATTATTAAAATTCTAAAAATGCCGAATTTTAGTTGAAATTATCAAAGTATCACTTTTATTAATACTTTTGTGGGCAACTGTACATAATATCTGCGTATTCAAACAAAAATATGTGAACATGCTGTATTCCAAGAACTTGTCGCAAAGTGTACGGAAAACATTCCGCATGTTTTTATTTGAATACGTATATATTTTGATATCCACAATGCATGCGTGTAATCTATGAATGTCGATGAATTTTTCCCAAAAATATTTGTCTTCATTCGTCTTATCAGAATATACAGTTACTCACAAAATTGAACGTACATTTATGTTGGGAATGAAAATTAACGGTGAAATGAATACAAACACATATATTTTTTTTGGGGGGGGGGGGCGTCTATTTATTATTAACCGCAACTATAATTATAAAAAAAAAAACTAAACGTCCACATATGTGGTCAAGGGCGTGAAGAGGTTAAGACTAGGAACACAATATACAGGGTGTTTGGCCATCCCTGGGAAATATTTTAATGGGAGATTCTAGAGGCCAAAATAAGACGAAAATCAAGAATACTAATTTGTTGATTGAGGCTTCGTTAAAAAGTTATTAACGTTCAAAGTTCCGCTTGTAGAACTGCAATCTGTGAAGAGCTGCGTGCGCGCGATGGTAGTTCTGACCACAGGCGAGGTATACGAGTAGACATTTTTCTGGGGTTCTAGAGCTCCATTAATACGCATTGTTTGAATTTTGAATCGTTGCAATCCTTCAATCCGTCCAGAAGTTATGATTTTTTAAACATACGCATGGAGTTTCCGGGAAACATTTCTGGCCACACAGTGTATTTTCAGTAAAGAATTTTTTTCTCGAAAATGTGTAGGAATTCGGGGGTATGTTTATTTACCAAAAATGATTGTAATTGACCCCCGCAATCAAAAATAATTTTTCCAGAACGATTTGAAATTTTTTTTTCGTCGAAAAATTTAGGCACCTACCCTACCTATAATACCCTCTGTCGATTTTTCTTAAAAATTCGTTTTTCATTTGTAATAAATTTGTTTGACGCTGTATAAAAAAGTTGTTTAATACATTTTTGTAGGTACTCATGAGCTCTACTTTAGAAAAAAATTTCAATGAGATACACTCACTATTGTCGGAGTTATGGCTGTTTGAAAATTGGACCATTTTTATGGGGTTTTCCTTACGTTACGGGGTTAAGAAGCAACTTTTCGAATATTTTTGGAATTCCTACACCTTCTTCACTAAAATATGCATTATTTGCCTTTTGAAACTTTAAAATCGTCTAATTCGTTCAAAAGTTATGATGTTTTAAAGATACGCATGAAATTTCAGGGAACCATTTCTGGCTTGACATTATATTTTCAGTTATGAATTTTTTTCTCGAAAGTGGATAGTATTTCGGGGGTATGTATTCATAAAAAATTATTGTAATTAATCCCTCAAGCTAAAAATAATTTTTTCAGAATGATTTGAAAGTTTTTTTTTCACCGAAAGATTTCTGCATCTATTCGAATTTTTTTCCTCGAAAGTGCCTAGGATTTCGGATGTATGTCTTTTCACCAAAAATTATTGTAATTGACCTCTGCAACCGAAAATAATTTTTCCAGAGTGGTTTGAAATTTTTTAATAACTTTTTAATGAAATTTCAATCAAGAAATTGATATTCTTGATTTTCGTGTTATTTTAGAATCTCCCATTAAAACTTTTTCAAGGGGTGGCCGAACACCATGTATATTTCACTGTACCTTTCATAATAACTTTATTGTTTGAAAAATTCTCTTTCTAGTCTTTATTATTACATACCTTAAAAACTCGTTTTTATTATCGTTTAGCAAACTATTTTCAGTGTAACCTATATTATTTAGATAAATAATGAATGATTAAAATCAAAAAACTTATTTCTTTATTTAATTCTTAGTTTAATTTTTTTTAATCATTAACGTAAGTAAATACTTATGTACCCAGCAAGATAATAAGTTGAAAAATGAATAGTAAGCACGTAACAACATCGAAGTTGTTGTTGATGTTCAGTCGGATACAGTGGCTACGCGTCATGTAACAAGAGGTCTCTTGCTATACCAGTTTAGTAAAACAACAAATATATTGCAGTAAATAAATTTTATTGGTTATATACATACATTGCTGGACAAAAGTATAGTGACTCAAAATAAACTCGTACAACTACAGTTTTGTTGTATTTCATGAAGCGATTGGTATTGCAAGAAAATAAAGTTATTTTTATTAAGCTTTATTCAAAGTTGATCAAATTTACAAGAAACAATAGCAAAGAAATTTTTATTCGGATGTATATCATGCATATTTATATTCAGGTCGATATCAAGAAGTTAAATAAACTTGATACATTTTTAAATATAGTATAGTACCAGATAAATGTTTCCGGACAAACTTTCTTTTTATGGAATGAGTTTTTAAATGTATGCATTACACGAAACAAGAATGTTTAAACAAAATATGTTAGTTAATTTTAATGCATATTTTGTTTTATGTGTTTTTAATTATACTTCTAAATGTACTTGATAAAAGTATTTTAGTGCCTCAAAAGTAATATACCATATTTGAAAGGTAATTGAAACCACCAGTTTGTGTGAGATTTAAATGGAAGTATGTAGAATGATAAATTGATAAATAGTTGATTCATTTTTGGCTGTGTGCGAAAATGATTAATACTTTACAAGGTATTTATCAATAAAAAAAACTTCGTCATTCTGCGTCTTGGTTTCGTTTTTGGTTATGTTACACTATTTTTGTTTGTACTTACAAAACAATAATATATTATAATTTTTTTTTACAATTTAATTGAATTTTATATTATTAAATTGAGATAGATTAATGAACAAGCTTGGAAATAGGGTATATGGAACCTTCAATGCACAGTCTGTTGTACATATCAAATTAGATACAATGTGGATACTGTACATTTGTTTTTATTACTAAAGAATATGTTGGATCAATTTCTCATTATCCAGTAAGAAATTGCTAATTTCAAGTAAAAGTGTATGTATGATTACTTTGTATTTGTAAGACTGATTACAATCGCGAATGCGAAAATGTGCTGATTTTAATGAGATTTTCAGGAATTAACAAAACAAGAGTATTAAATGCAATTATGTGCATTAGCAAACAGCATTTTTCTCTCTAAATTAGTATCGTAATCGGATTACGTATACTGCTAGGACAAACATATTATATTGTGTTTTTTTAACATTATGTGACTAAATTACAGCAAATTTTTTGTATAGTTACATTAAACTCATATTCGATTCATAATTCCATGCGCACTGCTGTTATCTGTGAATAAACTATTCGTAATTTCTAATATGTATAATATTCATGATTTTTTAATTTGTTCATTCATTCAATATTATTTACTATTTAATGAATATTGATACTACTTTTTCTTGTATTATACTGATTTGTTGAAACACTTTCAATATAATTAGGGATATATTATTATACATAAGGTAAAAGTAATATTAATAATGAACTGTTTGAATACTTTTGTCTTCATAAAATTAAACAAAACTTTTCGGTTTTTTTTTGTACATACACGGATAACGTAATAAGTTATGACTCTTTAACAGTAAATTCATATCTGCGGTGCTATATGTATAAACAGAAAGTATAGGAAGCATAGATTACTTATTATGTTATAAACAAATTTCGCAGTTAGTTTTATTTAGTACCAAGTATTAATATATTTAGTAAAATGTTTTGAATACATTTTAAGCAGAGTTAAGTTAGAAAACTTGTTTACATATTTGTTAAAAGGCCAAATGTTGTTACATTGTTCTCTATTATCATTTCGATTGAATCAAGTTAGATCTCCAATAATGAGCAAGGTTTATTATTGGTCTTATCTTGTAATTTTTAAATATTTTAAAGCAAGTGGAAAAATAATGGTCCATGTCATCGTTGTTTATAATAATAGATTCATAATACCGAATATCACGTAACACTACTTTTCTAGTGATAGAAAATAACATAGCACATGATATTTAGCTCAAAATTTATAGATTTTTACAGTTTGAGTATTTTCAATCATCTGAACTAATAGATTTATAACTTTTGAACCTCAGGTGAACCTTCTACTTGTCTTCTAGTCGCCAGTACTTCTGTACTGTTTAGTATTGGAGCAGGCAGGGCTATGAAAGGCTAGAGACAAGACCAGGCAGGCAGGACAATCAGGATACAGGACAGAGAAGCGTCATCTCTTAGATCACAGTGAGGGAGGTTTTTGCTTGTATTTCTTTTGGTATCTAGCACCTACCATATATATTTTACATATTCTACCATTTATGTGAAAATATTGCATCACAATCTTCTAGACTGTGCTTGCACGTATTGTGTAGCACATATGATATCCGAGAAAAAAAGTAAATAATTATTAACATTAAACTGGCGTCACCATTAGAAAACAAGAGACCCATTAATTTGATCATTCAATTGCTGTGTCTAGGGATACATCCGTGCCATCCAAATATTAAAGTATGTAATACTTTGCTACATTCGTTTCTGTAACATTTTCGAAAAAGATTACAGATATAGGATTATGCAATAGACATTGGAGAGCACGATTGTTTCTCTAATTTAGTAAAATGTATTGAAATAGTGGTCCATGTAAGAATCTAGGTTTTACTACGTTGATGCAGACTTTTATTTCATAATAAGAAAGGTGATTCTTGTATAGACCAAAAATCTCAGGATAAAACGAGAAATGCATGAAGAAAATGTGTCAATATGAAACGAATCAAAGAATATAAAGGAAAATCAGATAGCACGAATATCAGTTAGCATTTTTGTAGGCTACCTAGATTAACTAATTATTATTTTTTAAGTTGTAATGTTTTAAGAGTTAGCTAATAAAAATGACCAGAACCTTTTCCATGTCACTCTTTAATTTAAATATACAAATTTCAGTAGTATCGGATAAGTGTGAGGTACAAGAACCTTCTATGAGATAAAAGAATAGGGAAGCATAGTTGTCTAGATTGATAAGGGCACATCTAATTGATATATAATGACATTATTGACGAGTTTCGAACACTATGTATAATAGAAGAACAACATATTTGTATCCTCTGCCAATTGTGTAGTCAATGAAAGCACTATTACAGGCTTCATATTTATATGTATTCACAGTATTAAATAATTTGTACATAATGAAAACCTGTGACCAATTTTATATAGTTCTAATAATATGTAGGATTAAGATATATGGATTTATGAATGAAGGGATACGTTGAATTGGGTATTTCATACGCAAAGCTCTGTTGCAAGTTACATATGCTAGAAGTATTAAAAATGCATTATCCGTATACATACATACAGAACATTTGTCAGTAAATTTTTCAAATAATAGCAAAAGAATGTGACAAATAAAATGAAAGTAATCATATGATTAAAAATTGCCGTTACATATAATTAATATTATTTTCGAATCGCGTTTAATGAGAAATGAATAAAACAATATTTAATCTTTAATGGTATGTAAAGTATGTCCTTATTATTTCTGAATATAAAGATAGATATTTCTCAATAAATGCAACACAGTCTGTTCTTTAGTTTTTCTTCGTATCCCTCTTAATTAAATCCACTTTTGAAGGTAAAGCAATTAATCAGTGTTGTACAAAACGACAATAAATAAATAAATAAACAAATAAATAAATAAATAATTTAAATAATATAATTTTATTTTCATTGGAATTCTGTACTTTTGTTGCATTATAGTTCGAAACAACGTTATGATTATTGAAAATTAATCCATTGGTATAACAGATTTTTAATTCGTGAAATTTCATAAAATTTTAATCGTAGTAGAAGAGGTCATTATTGATAGTGCTGAGTGTAACATAACATTTCAAATCTCACATCTGGGGATTGGCAATGAGATCTTACTCTGCTTAGATTTCAGTAATAGATATTTCTTTATTTTAGGGCTAGATAAGAAAAGTGAATTCGATTTACAGATAATCAATAAAAGTGCTGAACACAAGAGCGTTGGCAAAATACGCAATTTCGTACACGAACATTTATAACTATTTAAAAAATTGTTTATCGCATTTATTTTTTGTATATATCTTTATTAAGGGCTTATGCCACCTTGGTGGTGTCAAAACAGAGGATATTTTCACAAATTTTTTATGACAATACTACACGCTTGATTGAATAATTTTTTTGCGCTTTTTTACGCTGAATACGCTTTTAAAATATATTTTTTATTTTGAACTCTGCGTGCGCAATAGAAGATTGGTGTCAGTGGTAGCGTCTATTATAATGCTGCAAAGTCAAAAACTGAGTAACAGTATTGTTTCTTATGGTATTCCCTATTGTGTAACGTATATCTTCAGAGAATAAGCGTTTTCATCAATCATTTTTTATTAATATCCCGAAAATTAATTACGATATTTAAAATATTATACCTCACACGAGAGCTGTTTTATTTATGAACGGTGATTTTAAATTTCATAAAAACCGGTTGAAAAATATAGTTTTGAGAAAAATAGCTATTTCTGAATCATAATAGGATTCTTCCTTTAATGTTGAAGTATTTTCTCGAGATAATTAAGTTTGTTTTTTTGCAATTCTTGTTTCTTTTGTATACAGGGTGTTCGGCCACCTCTAGCAAAAATTTTAATGAGCGATAGTAGAGGCCAAAATAAGACGAAAATCAAGTATACTAATTTGTTGATGGAGGCTTCGTTACAAAGTTATTAACATTTAAAGTTTCGCCTGAATCATGGCAACCATCGAGCATATGCGTAAGCGTGGGAAGTCAGGAGACGATGTATTACAGGAACCGAGCTTACCGACTTATCGATCGCCTTTCGTGTTTGCGTCAACTCTCAGGACGGCGACCGTGGTACGTTGAATGAAATCCGACAGCCCCTCGTTTTTGCGTCAACTCCCAGGAAGGTAAACGCATATCGTCGAATAGGATTCAACCTGTCTTATGAACATCCAGAGGGGCATATCAATACTCGCCCGACAAGATGTTCACAGAGAGAGGATGAATGCCTCTTTTAACACACACATTTTTTTCTGTATAAAAATCACCCACACGCGAGCATACACGCATCGCGATTGTCCCGTCCGCGAATGTCCACGTGTATGTGCACCGCGAGTGTCCACAAATAAATACTGTTGCTCACGAACCATCATACTTTTTTTCCAAAAAAAAACCGCACGCGAGCATACACGCACCGCGATTGTCCCGTCCGCGAATGTCCACGTGTATGTGCACCCGATTGTCACGACCGCGAGTGTCCCCAAGTAAATACGGGCATTGTGTGTGTTTATGTTGCATTTTTTCTCGTTCCGCGCCGCGCACTACACAACACAAACCGCGTACCACACACTACACTGCACTACACAACACTACACAACACAACTTAATATAAACCACGGATTTCGATTCCACGCACTATCGCGCAATAAAAAAGTAAAACTGGAAAAAAATTTATAATTAGTAAATCTGATTAATGACTGAATATTAATTCAGATTGTAGAGTTCGAGAGCTATTGAATGTCCGTATTCGTTGGCGACTGCCTTCGAAATGAGAAAAGACAAACGATGACGAGTGGCGAGAAAAGCAGACACATTATTAAAGTGCCGAACGCGCGGCCTACGAAGCATACATTGTAAAGCCCCGACATTTTTACTTTCCGACTTATGTAGGCATAAGTACGATAATGGAAAAAAATGTCCAGAATTTTGTTTACAGAAATACACGTTTTAAAACTCCCCGATCATAAATATTTCTTTTTACTTAATATTTAAAATATGACACCCAGAACGTACATGGAAATTGTTACAATGTATGCTTCGTAGGCCGCGCGTTCGGCACTTTAATAATGTGTCTGCTTTTCTCGCCACTCGTCATCGTTTGTCTTTTCTCATTTCGAAGGCAGTCGCCAACGAATACGGACATTCAATAGCTCTCGAACTCTACAATCTGAATTAATATTCAGTCATTAATCAGATTTACTAATTATAAATTTTTTTCCAGTTTTACTTTTTTATTGCGCGATAGTGCGTGGAATCGAAATCCGCGGTTTATATTAAGTTGTGTTGTGTAGTGTTGTGTAGTGCAGTGTAGTGTGTGGTACGCGGTTTGTGTTGTGTAGTGCGCGGCGCGGAACGAGAAAAAATGCAACATAAACACACACAATGCCCGTATTTACTTGGGGACACTCGCGGTCGTGACAATCGGGTGCACATACACGTGGACATTCGCGGACGGGACAATCGCGGTGCGTGTATGCTCGCGTGCGGTTTTTTTTTGGAAAAAAAGTATGATGGTTCGTGAGCAACAGTATTTATTTGTGGACACTCGCGGTGCACATACACGTGGACATTCGCGGACGGGACAATCGCGATGCGTGTATGCTCGCGTGTGGGTGATTTTTATACAGAAAAAAATGTGTGTGTTAAAAGAGGCATTCATCCTCTCTCTGTGAACATCTTGTCGGGCGAGTATTGATATGCCCCTCTGGATGTTCATAAGACAGGTTGAATCCTATTCGACGATATGCGTTTACCTTCCTGGGAGTTGACGCAAAAACGAGGGGCTGTCGGATTTCATTCAACGTACATACCACGTTCGCCGTCCTGAGAGTTGACGCAGACACGAAAGGCGATCGATAAGTCGGTAAGCTCGGTTCCTGTAATACATCGTCTCCTGACCTCCCACGCTTACGCATATGCTCGATGGTTGCCATGATTCAGGCGGAACTTTAAATGTTAATAACTTTGTAACGAAGCCTCCATCAACAAATTAGTATACTTGATTTTCGTCTTATTTTGGCCTCTACTATCGCTCATTAAAATTTTTGCTAGAGGTGGCCGAACACCCTGTATACTCCCACGCTTTGAATCCAGCAATATGTTCTTATGCACTTACACTTCCAATATCTATTTCAAGGATAAAAACAAAACTGCATTGAAAAAGTTTACTAGATAGAAGATGAAGTTAATCATTCCTCTAATAAATCCTTGCGTTTTATGCATTTTATTATTTTTGGGGTAGAAAAATATCGTGCAGACTTTTACTCCATATACCATATTTTTGTAATTTCTGCTGATTTTGTACTAAAATTTTTTGCACACTGTTTTTAAGTTGAAACCGCCAAGGTGGTATAACCTCTTAAGAAAGTGTTACTTATCTATGTACAAACACAGAATAAAATTAGTAACATAGAAAACATAATTTTGAAGTATTATATATGTATTAAGATACTTTATTTCGAAATAATTTATATTTTATTAATCTATTTCATTAAAAAGTCGAGTTTATTAACTTATTCGACGAGTTAAGCTCGTCATGCCGTTGCCAAGCCATAAACTCAAATGATTTAACTTTTAGTATAATAATTTTTAATCTGATATTTAATTTTAAAAATTATTGCCTACATTACAGTAAATGTGAATGAAAATAAGGATCGTCTTGAGCTTTGCCATTAGCATTCGTATCGTAAAAATATTTCATACTAGAATTTCTATATCGGGATAAATATCAATTAACTGAATATGTAACGAGTTGCGTTGAAATTTACTTCAATACATATAAGTATTATTCAAATTATGTTGTGTTTGGTCTCATTTTAATCAGAGAAATGAGATGAATATATTAAAAACAATTTTATGCAAAAAGAACATGAAACAAAAAAAGTTCCTTTTTCCTCATTATACGTGGAGACCGAACTCGATCCTCAGTTCCTCTTCATCTTTCGCTTTCTATCTTTTTCTGCATTCCACCATGTGATAAAACACAAAGAACATGGTCCCTTTATGATAAATGTGCCTCTTAGGCCCTGAGTAACGCACATTTAACTCAAGAGCACTGTATTATTGAAATTTACTATTTAAGACATTTTCGAATGCTTTTCAAATATACATTCTATAAATTGTTTGAATATTTGTTTATCTGCTCAGCATTTATTAATTCAGTGAATTATCACATTTATTTGCGTTGCAATACTTCACTGGACTACGAAACGGGAATGTTCTTTCTTTTCATTATACATAATAATGAATTTCTTCCATATAGAGTATTTATTCAAATATTGTACAGCACTGATTATAAGTACAGTTTTGATACTCATTGAGAGCAATAAAACGAATTCTAATTATGTTGTGCTTATATATTATTTAAAATTGATTTTTCTAATTTTCACATAAGTTTATTTTAGCTCATCACGCCGTTCAAGATACTAGATTTATTAGAGAAATGTTTATTTTCTTAGTAAGTTTAGCGTGAGTGTCAGGTGGTAAAGTGAAAGAGCAACAATTAATTAGCGAGGTAGAGTCTTCGATTTTGAGAATAATTAATATACATTCAACATCCAAGGGGTAGCGTAGCTAGATTAATCTGGCAGATATTTAGTGTTGAATATTAGCAGTAAGAGTGGAAAATGAAAGAAGAAGCTAAAAAACGGGCAGGTAGCAGAGCAAAAGGATTCTGAACTACGCAGCGAGCTAGGCTTTGCTAGGCTTCTTGCTAGCCTCTGTTGTACAACTGCAGGTAGGAATATTAGATTGATTTGTTTAGATATAGGGCCGTGAATGGCAGAGTGTGCATGATATATA